GAGGTAATAAAAGAATATGCTTCCATAGTGTTTTATGAAGGTTCCTAGAGTTATAATCTAATGATCTATGACATGCATTCACATTAGGGAGTTTGTAAGCCTAAGGATAAAAGGTCGCTAGAGTTAAAATCCATTCCATAAAGTCATCTTCAATTAGTAGGTAGTCTACTAGATATAGGGACTTATATAGATAAGATAAGCTCTAGCTGAAGTTCTCGTGATATTAAGACGTACATCCAAATTGCTATCACTACATAACTTTTCTAAATCTAAAGTTTACTTAGACCTAGATGTAGGGCCTCACTCATGTTATGCATGATTAGATTTAGTGGTGTGTGAAAGAACAAACAAACCTCACACAAATCAAATAATGAAAATGTATAAGAAAAAAAAATAAAAATCAATCAAATAAATTACAATAGGAAGTGCGATAAAAAGAAAATAAAATAATAGAAATTGAAATTATTTTAATTTAATTTTTTAAAATATTTCTTAATTTTTTTTAAATTTTTTTAATAAAAATATTCAAAATTTAAATTTAAATTAGTTAGATAAAGTCTTTTTTTGAAATTTAAATTTAAACTAATCTATCTAAAAAAACACTAATCCTATCTTTAAAAACAAAACAAACTAAATCTAATCTAATCAAATCCGAGGAATCCTTATTCACTGCTCCTCAAATCTTTGCAAAATGGACGCAAAATCTCTGCGAAATCCTTACAAATCACACAATTTTGTAGCAACCTAACAAATGCATATGTTATTAGATACCAAATTTGTGTAATCCAATTATCACGGTATCTAAAGATTTTAATCCGAATTCGAACATTTACCCAATTCAATTGTTAGTTCAATCGAACAATCTAATTGAACTAAATCACAGTTTAAATCAAATTATCATTTAACCTAACTCGAATTAATTATCAAATTAGAATATCAATCAAATCTTAATTTGAATTCTAACCACTAAAAAGCTAATTATGATCACAATACACAAATATGAGATTAGAGAAAAAAAGAACAAACCCGGACCAAGTTAGCTCAGAACTCAAATCAGATTTACAACATTTGGATTCTGCGGGTTGAATGGGAGGTTTAGCCTTCCATCGAAGTACTTACCTACACAAGAATGAGAAGAGAACAAGAGAATTCAATTGAATGTAAAAACATTGATTCTTATTTCGGCCAAAAATCAAAAATTAAGTGGCAAAAATTTGGGCCTCAATAATATCTAAAAGGCCAAATACAATTATTAAATAACAAGGGTTCAAATGCAATCCCACAACAATATTCAACAAATCTACCTTAAGTTAAAAAATCATAAAAAATAACTCCAAATCCAATGATCCATATATGCATTTTGAAGTTCTGGATGTATAGAATCCAATGCAACTGGAATTAGCCAAAAATAATATTTGTAGACAAAGTTATAGCCAAAAGAGTAGTCAGATGTCAGAATAACCAAAATTACAAAATTAAAATATTTATTTTTAACTAGCTCAACTTTCAAATAACTAGAAAATGATAAAATTTTTAAAAATAAAGCATATGAAAAGTATTTATTAATGGAAATAAAACTATAAATATAAACTTAAAATATGTTACATTATCACTATAATATTATTAAGAGGAAAAAATATTTTTTCTTTATTACTTTTTTAGTTCAAAAGACTCAAGAACAAATTTGATAATGTTAATTTAAAATTGGGTAAATTCAATAATCAAAAGTAAATTATCAAAAAAAAAAATAATTTAGAGATTTTAGGGTCTAAATTTAAAAAATATAAAGATTTATAATCTTCATTATTAATTTTATTTTAAATACAATAGGCAGCCCATTAAGACATAAAACAAAAATATAAGGAAGAAATAGGTTTCTTTGTCTAAGACCCTAATAAGATGAAAGAAAAATTATTATAATACTCATTGTTTCAATTTAGATACATAGAATTATTTGAATGTAAGAGCGGACCATTTTGAAACTTGAATTCCAAAATTTATTTTCTCTAAAGTGTTTTTTCTTAATAAAATTTCAATTTAATTGATCCTACTTTTGTATGTCAATTTTTAAAATCATAAATCTTTTCTTATCTTTAATGTTTTTGAAAGAATAAACAATTTCTTGAGGATAATAATGTTATCTATAATTTATTTTCTAAGAACAAAACTACATTAGTTTTGAGAAATAAGACAGAGGAGCTGAACTTTTAATATGAAAACTAGAATTTTGACCATAATTTTATAACTAACATTATATAAAAAAATAGGTCTAAATTAAATGATCAACTCATGACCAGAAATTTCAAGAATCATGATTAGAATGATTTGATTTACCACTGTAATCTTTTTAGGAACAACAAGCACATATTTCACAAATTTGAATAAACGAGGATACAATAACTCTCATTGAGATTTGAAAAACAAGGCATATATACCTGATGAATCCACATTTTATTAGATTTTTACTTGTCTTTTTAGTGTTCTTTAATAGAAAAAATAGACTTAAGGAATGTAAATAGCATAGAAACATCATTTTGGTCAAATATCATAGGTTTCTTAATTTTTTGCTAATATACATTGATTTATATAGATATAATTTGTAATTTTAATCATTTGAATAATTGTGCAAAAATTTTTAGGCTTATTCCATGAACTTTTAGCCGTTGAGTAAATTTGAGTTGAAAGTGCCCACTTTCAGAAGTAATAGTGGACAATACAGCAAGCTAGATCTAGAGGGCAGACCAAAGTGATCACTTTCAGAGTGATAGTGGATACTACAGAGACCTCAGACTGAAGAGGGCTTGCGCGTAATGATCACAAGTGTCGCGCTCAGACAAATTATTAAAAACTGAATTGCATAAAAAATTATGTAGTAAAAGGTGCAATCTGAGTCGTCTCCCAATGATGATAATGTTATACGATTATGAATTTGGATGGGGTTTGATTTATAAAATAACACTGATTAAAATAAAAAATTAACAAGAATTGAAAACTCTAATCCAAGAATTTAGAAGAACTATGACCATTCTATCACCGAATTCCAATAAGATGCATCAGCCAACAAATTAGTGATTAACATTAAATTCGAATGAAACCTTAATTCAAATTAAGCATTCACATGAAGACCATCACGCATTCAATTAACACACAATCGCTCAAAGTTCAGAAACCTCTAAAACCTAATTGATTTGTGTTAATTTAATTCACCAATGCTATTAATCTTATATCTCAAACCTGAAAATCTAATTCACATTCCTTCAAAAATTAATTACATACATCAACCGAATAATATGTAATCAAACAACTGCACAATCATCAATCCAAATGAATAACTTCAATTCAAAAATCTAATTAGCAAAACGAAAACGAAGGAAGAGATGAAACCGGATTTGTTGTTGAATGAATTGCGAAACCGATCTTCAAGAATGTCTCAGCCCTTTTACAATCCTTGGATTAGATGAAAATCTAAGCCTCCATTAATGGAGGAAAATGAAAGGTAAAAATGTGAGAGAAGAGAAGAGGCAAAGAAGAAGAGACTACAACCCTAAAACTTGTATTATTCCTCCCGAAAAACAACCAACCCCTTTTTCAACCTGCTGCCCTAATTTAAATACGGGTCTTTTTAAGGGTCAAAATATAAAAACTAATTAATAATTATTCAATTACATTAATCTTCTACTTAATAGCTATCTCTAAAATCCTTATTTGTTCAAGTTTGAATTTTGGAGGGAAAGTTATGCTTGTAATTGCTGCCCAGTATCCATGCTTAGTCTGAGAAGATATTGTGTGGTATTTTTTACCATGAAGATCTATCTGTTTTAATTTTTGATATGAAGAGAAATTGTAGCCTTGGATGTTATCTTCAAAATGCAACTGGAATGGGCTTAAATAGACATTTGTGGACTGAGATATGGCTCAAATACTGCACCAAGGTCAGAAACTGCGAGTGCATATTTCTGACTTTTTCTTAGCCTAGTTTCAACTTCTTATCATCAGAATTGGTTTCTGACCTCTCACAGGAATTGTGTGCCTTTCTCTCATCTTTCTCACAAATCAAGAATCATAATGAAATGAGTTCTACAACTCAAGATATGGCCCAAAAACCAAAACAATATCAGAATTTGCCTAATGCTGGAAAAATTAAATAAAGCCCAAATAAAATTCAAACATCATAAAATGATCCAATTCAAACTAATTAGGCACAAAAGAGGATTAATGAGCTAGGAATGAGAGGAAATAAGATTGTAAAAATTCCAATTGATCACATAACCACTTTGGATTCTATAATGGACACTGCAGAGAGGGCCAAATTGTGACACTTTATTTCCACTATATCCTATCCTACTAAGTCAGGACAATGATCTCTACGAAATAAAGTACTAACGTGCATATACACATACAGGAAGTCTGAATATCAGTATAGCATATTCATTCAACATTTCCAAATCATCGTCATAAGGAATCACCTTCAAGTTCTCATTTATCATTATCACAAAAAAAATCTCAAAACATAAATGTTTCTTGTACAATTTAGCATCAGCAACCTCAATCCATTGGCATTCTTAATTAAACCATGGATAAAAAAATATATTTCATGTCCAACAAAAGATTTTAGAAATAAAAGTTCCACATACACTTATTCTTATCCTTTCACATCATTATTGAATATTGAACTAACTCATCATATATATATATATATATATTTTGTACTCATGGCAACTAGTTTGCATTTCGGTATTACTAATATAATTTCATATCAAATGGTAACATACGAATAATAGTGTCATGTGGTTAAAAAGAAAAACTTAATCAAGAGATATAAATAGTCAATTATGCAAAAGGAATGAGTAAGGTCATCCAAACCAAATTTGTCCAGGGTAAAAACAACAACAAAATAAAACCCATAAAAGTCTAGTATTCAAAAAGAAGAAATAAAAGTAAAGTCCTACAAGCAGGATCAGCCCATCACTAAATAAAAAAAAAAGTCTACACATAAAATTCTAATGGAGAGAATCCTTACTAGGGTTGGATTCCATTCCATCAGAGTCAGGAGAATCAGCTGCTGGTTGAGGACGAAGGGAGGGCGACAAGTCATCCGGGTTGTTATCAATCCAACCAATGGTGGGTGGTGGTGAACGAGAAATGGGCAGAGGTGGTGGTGATGGGCATCGTGTAGAGGGTCCAGATTCACTAGTAGAAAGTACAGGGATTCTCAGAGAATAGTGAGGTACGGGCCAGATGGAAGACTCAACAATTTCAACGTCTTTCCACTCGGGTGCAGAAGAAGAACTGGGGCAAGAAGTAGGTGCTGGGTCAAGGCTTATAGGGGCTTTGCCTTTGTCAAGGGTTTTGGAAGGCTCAAAGGGTGGTGTTTGGTTTGGAGAAGGTGGGTGAATGATGATACTTTTCTCAGATGGCAAGGGTACAAAGATGTCAGCAAGAAGGTAGTCACTCTAGTAGGGTGTCCAACCATCCTCAATGATGGGTCCCAGATTCAAAGTGATCATTCCTCTGTACATGAGATGGCGTGTCGTTGGATTGTATGTTCAGACCTCTCTCCCCTCGGAGTTCGTCCCCTAAATCATCGCTCGCTGTGGATCCATCTGCCACACAGTCATGCAAAACAAGCCCAAGAATACAATAGAAGAAACATAATAGAAAGAGTGAGTCCAATATAAAGGTTTGCCAAAATCAAATAAATAAAATGAAAAGACTCAGAATCTCAGAAAACACTCATTTTCGAATTTCATATCAGAAACTCATGAAATCAAACTTAACACAAATAATAAGGTTAAACCGAATCATCAATGAAATGTATGTCACTCATGCAATCGTTACTCCTTCGAGTTTCCAACATTTCCTCCAGTTAAGGTCATCGGAGACCCTCATTTCCTACAAGCACACCAAATACACATATACGTAAGGATATCCTCCCTTCCGATTCATCTTGATTCCTTAGGAATGAGTTCTACCACGTAGGGGTGTACAAAAAAACTAAATTATAAAAGTCCAATCCATAACTTAGCCCAACCGGTTTTAAAAATCCAATTTTTTTAAAAAATTAAAAAACTAAATCCGTAAAAAAAAAGTCTGGATTTAAATTGGTTTTAATATATAAAAATCAGATCAAATTTTACAAAACCAGTTTTATTATTCTTGTTTCTTCTAAACTCTAGATTTCTTTCTTGGGAAAAATTATACTGATTTGGTTCCACCAACAGAGATTCATAGATTGATTTGCCTCGCAGGTACATTTTTCCTTTCTCGCTTGCTTCCTCTCTTTTGTTATTTTGCTATTTAGATGTTAAAGGAAAACGTATTACGCAGTTTGTTTGTGACGTTTTGCGTTGCCTATGTTTCTGTATTGAGACAAATTATTTGACTTTATCTTCTATTTTAAGCTAATGGCTGTGCCTGCGACCTTTATATACAAGGAACACGAATCTTCATTCCTCTTATTCTGTCAGCTACTGCTATCTATTGAAAATTTAAATGAAATTAAGGGTATGATTAAAACGATGGAAATTATTGTCTTTAGCTTTTAAATGAATAGACAAGGATAAGTAAAGTTGATAAATAACAAAATGGTGTAGAAAGCAATTGAATGGGAAGAAGAATACATATATAAGCTACTGGTTCACCTTACAAAAAGAAAGCTCCAGCTAGCACCTTTGAAATTGTGAGGATTAAGAAAAGGTAATAAATAATGTACAAAGGATGATAAGACGAAGTAAAAGGAGATGTTTGGCATTTTATTTTTGGGGATCAGGGTTATTAAATTTGAACATAAGTTAATTATATATATATATATATATATATATTTTATTTTTATCCATGAATTTTATAGGGTTGAAGAATATTGGGAGAGGGAAGTGGAAATGAAATGATAATTGAAAGAGAATGACAGAGAAAAGTGATGTGAATTCTAATTCTCTAAGGCTGAGGCTGAGCTGAGCTAGTTGCCTTTCCTTATGGTTGGGAGGGACCAACACACACCACACCACACAACACACAATGAATGGTGTACTGGGGGTTGGGATTTTATTCTTTGCAAGGTGCTTTGTCTTTGTTCTCTTTAATCTTTGTTGTAACCATCTCTGGTTTGGCCCAAAAAATTGAATAGCTATCCTAACAACTTTCTTATCTGTTGCAATTTGTAACAATTTGTGTATGTAATACTCAACTCTAACAATATGTGTGCATTGTTAACCCAAGACCACCTTCCTTCTGAGACATACATAATTCCTAATAATAACAGTGACACATTTCTTATATTTTGTATAGATAATAATTGTAAAATTCAAACCTACATAAAAAATGTACTGATAATATAAAATAATTACGCACATATTAAAAAATCATGAGCAGAAATATCTTCAGAAATAGTTGTATCTAGTCAGCACCGCTTATTATTGTCAGAAAAAAAAAAGAGTAACATTTTAACACTTCCCATTACAAGGAAGTAGAAGACAATCACTGTTACCCTTCTCAACCTAGCAAATTATAAGGTCAACTGGGCAATGATTTAGCTAGTAAGGATCAAAAGACTTCACTAGAGAAGCTCAGGTTTAAATTTTGTAGCCACTAATACTCCTCGGTTAGAGTGGCAACGCCCTTTACCTTCTCTTTTCCTAAACTTGAATGTGCCAAAGAATGTTGTGTAGGACTTGCTAGCTTCTGGAACAACTGGGCTTTGTAGAGTGGAAACAAAAGCATATATAAATAAATATATTGTATTGATTAATGATATACTATTATTATTATCTGAAATATTATGAAGATTTGTTTATTTTGACCCTTGTTAATATTTGTTAGGTCATTCTAGCTTTGTTTACTTATATGATTTTATCTTGACCGTTAGATTAAAATTATGAAGAGATATGATCGTTATGCTTGAAACATGCATGATGGAGACCTTAATTATTAAATATAATGTTAGATATATCATGTTTATTAAAAGTTATAATAAAATAATATTATATAGTTGCATTTGTTGTTTAGTCATACTATTCTCTTATTATCTTTAATGTGACTGATTGATGACTTCTTCATATCATTTTGTCTAATCTTTAATAACTTTTTAAATATTTTTATTTTGATTCTTAATGCAAAATAATAGACACAATGGATGATCAAGATGATTTTATAACTTCTGAGACAGCAGAGCATTTGACTACTCCACCATCAATTTCTAACACTGCTAATGTGTCACAATCTCGATCTGATAGGCGTAAAAATCGATCTGAAGTTTGGAATCACTTTACTGTAAACCCTTTATAAAAAAAAAGCTAGATGCAACTATTGTAGTTGCTTGATGAAATTTGGTAATGGTCCATGCTAGCTCATTCAAAGAAATGTAAAAATAATCCCAATTCAATTTCATCATCAATGGCAAACGCAGAAAGACCTGTTTCTTCTCCTTCAACCACCAAATTTGACCAAGAGAAGTGTTAGATAGAATTAGTGAAGATGTTTATAGCTATGGAAATTCCTTTTCGATGTGTGGAGCATGAATCATTTCAAAAGTTTTTGAGTGTTTTACAACCAAAATTTCATGTCATTTCATGCAGTATAGTAGCACGTGATGTTTTGGGACTATGGGAGACAAAAAAGAACAAATTGAAAAAATTTCTTTCTCAAAATTGTCAAAGGGTTTGTCTTACCACTGATACATGGACTTCTGGTAAGAATCTTAGTTATCTTTGCATGACTAGATATTTTATTGACAATAATTGTAAGCTACAAAAAAAGATTCTAAATTTTTGTCAAATTACTAGCCATTCAGGAGAAACTATTGCTAAGACTATAGAGAAGTGCTTGGATGGGTGGGGGCTGAATTGCATTTTAAGTTTGATAGTTGATAATGCTTCATCAAATGATGTTGGTATTGAGTATCTAAGAAAAAGGCTATTGTCTTGGAGCAGTTTAGTTTTGGATGGAGAATATATTCATATGCGTTGTTGTGCACATATTTTGAATTTGATTGTAAAAGAAGGTTTAAAGGAGATTGATGACTCTATTTTAAAAATTCGTGCTGCAGTGAAATACATAAGATCTTATCCTCCTAGATTGATAAAGTTTAAGGCATGTATTGAACGAGAAATTGATACAAAGGTCTTGTTTGCCTAGGTGTTGAAACTAGGTGGAATTCAACCTTTTTATGTTAGAAGGTGCTTTGAAACATCAAAAGACATTTGAAGAGCTTGAAATGCAAGATAGGAAGTATACTGAAGAGTTAAATAAGGGGAAGGGTCTTCCTACAAGTGAAGATTGGGACTATGTTCGCTTAATATTACCATTTTTGAAGATTTTTTATGAAGCTACTTTGTGCATTTCTGGTTCATCTTATGTGACAGGTAACATGTATATGTTAGAGGTTCTTGGAATTGGAAAGAAGATCAATCAAATGTGTCATCAATCTAAAGATGCAAGAATGAAAGAAATGGCTACAAGAATGAAGAAAAAAATATGATATGTATTGGGGAAATCCAAACAATCTAAATATGTTGTTGTTTATTGCTGTTGTGTTGGACCCTAGATACAAATTGAAATTCATAAAATGGTTGATTTCTCAAACTTTTGGTGTTAGTGAGACAATGATATTGAATGAGAAATTAGAAACTTGTTTGGAGTCTCTTTTTGAAGAATTCAAAGGTAGGGAAGTAGGATCTCAAGGTGATTCACAAGAAACAATATTAAATGATGATCGTTATGGCTATAGTGAATTTTTTCAGGGTAGCAGTGATGATCGTTATGGATATAGTCAATTTTTTTTGATAAAGTGGAAGTAAGAATTATGAATTGAGTAAGTACTTGGAAGAAACTTTAGAAAGTCCAAAAAATTTTGATATCTTGAATTGGTGGAAGTTAAACTCAAGTCGATTTCCAGTCCTTGCAAGCATTGTAAGAGAGGTGTTGGCAATACTTGTCTCCACTGTAGCTTCTGAATCTGCCTTTAGTACTGGAGGAAGGGTACTCGATTCTTACTGTACTTCCTTAAAACCTAAAATGGTGGAAATACTTATTTGCACTCAAGATTGGCTTAAGGGATATTGTTCACCATTACTTTCAAATGAGGAGTTTGAAGAGCTTGAAAAATTTGAGCAAGGTAAGAACCCTCATTATGTTGTTATTAACTATATTAAAAGTTAATAAATAATTACTAATTATATATAATTTTTATTTTGCAGAAATAACTTCTCAACAAGATACTGCTTTTATAACTTCTATACCGCTTGATAATGATTAAAATGGTAGTGTTGTAGTAGTTGTTCGAAGGGCAAGTGTACCCATCGAGAAGTAATAAAGGGTTCTTAAATTAAGTTCCCGAAATATCGTCCCACAAGGATTGATTTCCAATTACTAAGAATTTCCTAATTTAATTGTTTAAGCTTCAAAGATACGACATTAATTAAGAACAAGAATTTATAAAATCAATTATAAAACTAAAAGCAAGGAATACACTGCACGCCTTGGTTAAACTTATCGGAGAGGAACCTAGGGTATATGGGTTTTCTCATTCAATCCTTTATGTTATTTTTCTATTTAACTCTAAATTCAATTTCCTTGTGATTACCAATCATTCATACAAATACTATTAATACCCAATGATCATGCAATATTAATATTCTTTTCTTTAAATTAACATCCCCAATGGTCATTCAAGACATCAATTTAAGAAAGCTTAAGGAAGCTATGAACTTGTTAATTTAATAACGATTAGAAGAAAAAGATTGGTTTGGTCCACCTAATCCTTTCTCTCGTTTTACCCTATAGATCTATTAATTAACCGAGGTACGGTTGCCTAATGATATAATTAAATAGGATAAAATCTAATCACAAAACGAAAATCAAATTTAGATTCAAACATCAAAATTCTATAAATTCAT